TGATAACGATACAAATACCAAATGCCTATAGTTGTAGAAAACGTCTGTAGCTCAAGAGGACGGTGCAGATTGTTCAATGCTCTTTGAATAGCATTCCTACTTACTCATGGGAATTCGATTCGAAAACTAAATGATTTCTTCAGCAACAAAATTCCTGGTAAAATGTGTGTACCACTAACAAAACGAGACAGTCGTTAGATGTTTTTTTATTTTAAAAGACTTGTTAAACTTAACATCAACCTCTACCACTGTAAGATGTTTTTCACTGGTGTCCCATTAGTTAGTGACAATAAAAATTAAGCTAAATCTTATTCGAAATCTTTAAAAGTATGCCAGAGTAAAGGTAATATGCACCAGGTATTCATTTCATCAAGAGTTATATAAAGTCTAAGTTTTCGATTACTTTTACAATAATTCATTCAATTAACAAAAGCTAGCGCTTTGTTATCAACAGCTAAGCCTAAATCCTGTCCTTGAATTAGCCTTCTTAATGAAAAACTAAGTCACGTACAAGATAAACTTTTCTTTTCATTATTATAATCCTTTGGTTTGCTTTTTATTCACTTTATCTTCTGCATAATTTATCAAGTGATAAATTTTTTTCCAATGCAGATCACTTAGTGAAATTCGATTTTCATTCAGTCATTTCTGTTTGCTTTACCTTTATTCTGAGAAGAGATTAAGGGAAAGTCAGAGTTAATAAATGAGACGAAGATATATATATATATATGTCGAAGACAATAGTAGAGATTACAATAATACCGAATGAAAGATAATCATATCATTTGTAATTAAATTATCGAAGATGTCACTCTCTGAGAGGATGTTACTGATGAAACAAAATACCAAACACAGATATTTAAGGCTGTGCATTAAAAGTGTTGATCTCTTCGTTTTAATCCTCTTTTTTGTTTTTCCTCAGCTACTCTAATTCCTTCTTGATTTGTAGTCATTATTATTATTTGTTGAAAGTAGGAATAGACATTTTTGCAGTTACTAGTTAAATTGCTATACAGTTACTTAAATTACCTTGAATTGATTTCATGATTGATCGTGGACTAACTTCAGCTAGAGAACCATTGAAAACCAATGTGTGTCTAGAACAGCTGTTCATTCCTTGCTCACGAATCTTCAACAAAAAGCATTTATGACTACAAGAAGGATCGGATTCATGACATTTAGGTTACTAAGCGGATTAGCCGACAATTAAAACATTGGATTTGAATGCAGATTACAATACACTGAATAAAAAAGTAAAGAAGAGTACCAGGGAAGACAAAAGAAAATATTATGAAGCCATGTCAAGTAAAGCAGAACAAACTGAAGGCAAAAGAGACCTCGCCACACTCTACCAAACAATTAGGCACCTGTCGGGTAAACGTTCGACACAGATCAAGCCAGTAAAGGATGACAATGGAAAGCCAATCACCAAAGAAGTGGAGCAAAGAAAACACTGAGCTGAACACTTCAAAAGGTTTCATTACTCTTAAGTCTGTGTGGAGGTCAACAGCACTCAGCATCAAAAATAGCATCCGGATTTTCAACTATACGGATCAAAGGCTTGGCACATCATAAAGAGCACCTGAAACAAACTACAGAACTTCATCAACAGTTGTCTTCGCTCAATGCCACTCAAGATCAGATGGCCGTCCAGTAAAGATCAGAAACACGGATCTCTGGCAATGAGAGAACCAACCAGGAACCGATTGTGAAGCAAATAGGCAGGAAGAAATGGAGATGGATTGGCTGGCCATACTCTGAGGAAACAAGCCATCGAGTGACATCACTAGACAAGCCATTGCTCGAGTGGAACCCGGCCGAAAGGGAAGCGGGCGACGAGTTGGTCGTCAGTGCAAGGGTGGGGTGACTTGGAGGAGGTCATGTGAGGAGGAGATGAAAGCATGTGGGAGACTTGGAGCGGGGTGAAAACGTTGGCAGGAAACCGAAGGCAACGGAGAGGGCACCTGAAGCCCTATGTTCCTCTAGGAATTAAAGGATATAATAATAATAAATAATAATAAAAACACTGGACGGAATCCAGTGACCCATCAATTCTAACTCCTGGAAACTCCCAATATAAAGTGTGATCACCAGTCAATGTCATAGAGCAGTACTTGATTTTTGTTGTTTCATTGAACATATTTCGCCACTAATTCACGTGACATCTTAAGCTTTAACTTTAAGGAAACAAATGCTACTGAGATAAATTAACTTGACAGCGGTCTGTTCACCATCGAATGCTTGGGCTTGAAGGATATCAAAGAGTTGTGATCTTCATTCTGAGTGAATAATCTTTGTTGCTGATTTATTTCTCTGCAAACCAATGTTTTTGGCGAGTATTAGTCCCACATTCAGCTTGATGGGCCTTGCTGGTCACGAATGCCTACTAGAACTTAAGGTAACTCCATCCTGCAATGAATAATTAGTGTGCGTTTGATAGATTTTTAAGCGCTGGTCCGCTAGGATTTGATTGCATTACTGGGATTTACATTTCAATTAAAGGTTACAGTACAAAACTTGATTGAGAATCTAGAATATTTCCTTTAAATTTAATCAATGAACTTTTATAAATCAATACAGTTATTTATTTTCCAATACCTTTCAAACCTTGTGTATTCGTTGTCTTAACGGGTACGCTAATAATATAAAACTATATGCAAAAGTATTAATTGAGATTCTGCACTTAGAATGAAGACCAAACTCTTTGATATCCTCCAAGTCCAAGCATTTAATGGTGAACAAACCGCTGTCAAGTAAATTCATCTCAGTAGCACTTTTTTTTCCTTGAAGCTAAGCCTTAATGTGTCACTTGAATTAGTGATGAAATATCCTCAATGAAACAACAAAAATCAAGTACTGCTCTATGACATTGACTGGCGGTCGCACTGTATATTGAGAGTTGTCAGGAGGTAGAATTGATGGGTCACTGGATTCCGTTCCAGTGTTTGAATGGTCAGAGAGTCCGCTTACTAACCTGAATATCTTGAATCCTATCCTTCTTGGAGTCATGGGTGCTATCTATCGAAGAGTCGTGAACGAGGACTGACTAGCTGTTCTGGACTTCCTGGTTTTCAGTGGTTCTCCAATTCAAGTCACTCAATGATGAAACTTGGAAAAAACTTGAAAAAGAATAACTGGTAGAATAAGCCATATTTTACAATGACCGAAATTAATTTCTGGGTACACATTTTAAATAAAATGGATTGATACCATCAGTAAGTAAAAATTTTCTTTATTCTTGCCTCATAAAATGCCTTAATAAATGCGAATTACTTCATATAGAGTATTCATTTTTATCTTCTGTAGTTATGTATCTTCATGAATTAAATAATGAACTTGTGTATACAAACTTAAAATATCTTGGAAGTTTCAAATTTAAGGAATTAAAAGGTTGGAAGTGTATGAAGTCTGAGATTTCTTATATTGTAATAGGGTAAACAGATATATATCTATATGACAGTAGGGATTTTAGTGTACACTTTGTAGGTATGTAATTCAGTTGTTTAATTTGATTTTATTTGAGTCCCTTGGTATTCAAAATATTAATTTTCGGTTGTATTAATGAACCTCACACAGTAAGACAACATTTCCATTACTTAAAAACAAACAAAGCTTTATTAATCCACCTAATCACCCTTAAATTTTGTCAAACAAACTATATCTTCACTTTTATTACATGATTAGATTAGATTGTACATGTGAATTTGTTTTCCAACTGCTTTACGCTAATTACTTAGTATGTATTTTAGTATACGTATAAATATTTCACATTTCTTCTTCTTATTATTATTATAGTTGAATGAGTTATCTACCTCCTAAGATATTCATTTGCACAGAAGATATGCATGATTTTTGTTTCATCCCTACTTGGATCACAATTTTGTGCATTTTATTCATGTTCCACTTGACTGACAGAATTCAGTCTGTGTCAGTGTCAAGGACTATAAGCAATAATTTAGTTGCTACCTGGTGTCCATTCATCACACCTAGTACATTCATTCAGGAGGAGGTTGGTCACAAGTTCAAATAGCTCATTAGCGACGTCTCTAACTGTGGCACTGGCTGACATGGATTTCAATTTCATTGGGGACGATAGTTCCTTCGAGACTGCATATACGCTTTGCTGACTGATAAGTGCCAAGAAGCGCTCCCCAATGAGATCATGTCTAATCATCTAACAACATTGTTGCACAGTGTTACACAAGGCATAAATAAAAGCAACAATCCATAGCTATCCTAGAATAAATTTACGCATACTAGTGATAATGAAACATGACAGTTTCAGTATTTATTCAGTAAACAATTCATCATGACAACTTCCCTTGTCATCTACGTCTACATAACACTGATTAACCGAAATTTCTCGACTAAAGAAAGGACTGACACTCTTTCTTTTCAATATAAATATCAAGGTTTTCGACAGTTAAAAACGGGAAAAATAAAACAGAAGAAAAACTCCTGCGACAAACCATTGTGATTTATTGTAAATGAGAATTTTAAAAAAAATAAATAAAATAACTCAATTCACAACTGTGAATAATGTCATCTATCGTTGAAGTATTTATCTCTTTTGTCGATAAGGTGACACAAGACGAAGATGAAGTAGATAAGGAGGGAAATGATGACGACAAAATAGAAATACAACATAGAACACACAACACACCATGAAATAAAGCCAATGAACCTTGAAGTTATCATTTTAAGGGAATTAATTTAAAGAAAAAAATATGATAATGAAGATAAATGAATTCCCATTTTTTTAAATTCACTGCTCATCAGTGAATGAATCACATGTCAAAATAAATGAAATAAATTATGTGTGTGTATATATTTTAAAGATTCTAGAAAACATAATTAAAACAAATATACTCTGAGCGCTATTAAGAGAGCTAGAATTCAATTTTTGTATATTTAATCACTCTTTATTCAATCTAATGAAAACAAAGTGTCTGAATTTAATTATAGATTTTTATTTGCTCTCCCCCTTGTAACTATTATAGATGCAATCACGTTGCGAAGATCAGTCCGTCAATAAAGGGGGTGAGATATATCCATCATCCACTGTTAATCCACGTCAAAGACTGGATACTGGTATTGCTGTGACCAATGAAAGTGAAGAAAAGGATGAAAGCGCTGAACAACAAAAAGATGGAAATCAATTAAGTAAAGATGAGAATACTGTCCGACAACCGTCGGTAACACAGATATCAACTGCTGCATCATTTTTTACCAGGTAATTGTCGATTTGAGAACAACCGTTCAATATCATGAGAATTTTTCTTATTTTTTTCATTTTGTTTTTTATTACAGCTTGATTCCACACTGTATTTTTGATACAGGTATGACATTTTCAGCATGTGATATCGGTGGACCAAATTTTGCAGGTCGACCATAGATATCAGGTGTGCATCGGCAGGGGATCGAACCTCGGACCATGTGTATGGTCAGCGAGAGTCCTAACCACTGTGCCACTGACGCATCAACTGTAATAAATCTCTGTAAATTCTGGCATGTTAGGCACCTGGTTATGCAATGTTTTCCGCGAATTTTCTTTCTTAGACAGCCATATTTGTTCGAGTTGTTGTCGACATTTAACTTATTCACAACTGTTCTCCTCAAGGTGTGTTCTAAGACAGAAAATATTTATAAAAAAACCAGATGTTAGATATTGTTAATTTGGATGCACTTTGAATAGAATTCTTAAAGTGTATTTTAGATACAACTAAGTGATAAACAAAAATGACATTTTAAAAAAAGTACTGTTATTAGAATCGCTAAACGAACTTTTTATGATTATATACAATAGTAGAAGACTAAAAGCCTTACTTGCTGAAAAGTTGAATTCAAATATCTTTATGTTTTCAGTGTAGGTTACCAAGTTAACATGCGTTAATAATAGACTTTACACCGGCAAGCTAATTAAGTGCTACTACTTTGCTTGATAGAAGCATATATCAGTTTGTCGGAATCATGATTCTTTTATCATTTGGATTTTGTGTTGAGGAGGCTTTTATGAAAAAAAGAAAGTTCCTCTTTTTATAATGCTTAATGAGGTGAAAGTGAGCAGTAATTGGAAACTCTAAGATAAAACAAGATGCTAGAATATGCCTGCAGCCAGAGACTAGTTTACAAATAAAATCAACTGCTTTTATTTCTGAAAATTATTATTAGAACTTTTCTCCTGGTTTTGTTTGCTACTTAAAAAATTTGTATCTAATGTTCACTCAAACAGGCTGTCAGAAATGTATATTCATTTCTATAATTTCAGTTTTTTAAGGGTAAATTTGTAAGCAGGTATAGTCTCAGAAGTTGTGTTGAAGAAATGTACGTCTAAGACCTGATGTTTGTACTGGATCTCGTTTCAGCCCCTAAATGTCATCAAAGTTCGTGTTGATTTGCTTGAGTAACAAAGTAACTGGTGATGATCTTTCCAGATCTCAGCTAAAATTAATTATTTGCTGACTTCAGACAGGCCTATTGGTCTAGAAATTTAGCTGGTAGACGTCAAACAGTGTAACTGTTTACCTAGTCGAAGGTAAAGGTCATTCTGAAATCTTACCGTACAAAAGGTGACTAAGATGATATGCCAAAAAGAGTTCCAGAGAAAGACTTGGTGACTGAAGAATAATCTGTGTATCGTTTTTTTATGTCATTTAGTGTAACGAAAGACTTAGTAAATATTCTTTGCTAACTGATATTATTATTGTGTCCTTTAATTCCCAGAGGAACATAGGGCTTCAGCCAAACGTCTCCATTGTCTTTTGTTTTCTGCCAACGTTTTCACCCCCTTCTCCTCCCCCTACACACTCGCGTCGTGTTTACCCTCTGGTTTTAGTTTCTTTTTTCATTTCTTTCCTACGAGTCCTTTTTTTTTTTGTGGATCTTTTCACTGTTCATTTTTTTCTTGGAAGATACCAGTTTTTTCTTTCTTCTCCGCCTTTCATAAAAATGTAACTCCCTGAGTCATTCCTTGTTATACAATTATGGCCCATCAACAAGCTTTAAATGGGCTCATTTTAGTCGGTTAAAATTTTTTTCTACCGCTTTATTTTTCCGGTGTGTTTCCGGGTTTTTTGTGGAGAGATACCGCTTTTTTTTATTTTTCGCTTCCTAAGCTTTTGTTTAAATTTTTGGGGAAAAAAAAAATTAAATTAAAAAATTTAAATTTTAAAATTTAAAAAAAACATTTTAAAAATTTTATAAAAATATGCGAATTTAAAACTTTTTTAATTCCCTTTTACTTTAATTTTTTTTAAGAGTTTAAAAAAAAATTTGAGGACTTTGATTTGGGCATTACGTAGAGTATTATTCCATATTTATTAATTTATTCCCTTACGTTTCCAATGGAGCATAGGGCTTAAGACTAGAACTTTGAAGTTTTGGTAGTAGTGATATTTAATTTTACGAGGTGGGGTTGCTAACCTCATGCCCAACCTTCTCTCTCTTCACCAGTCTTATTACTTGTTCAGAGAGATTATGGAGTGCGTCGACCGAAAATCGAACCCTGGACCACATTCGTAGTTGGCGAAAATTCTACTGCTAAGCCACTGACTCACAATTATTCCATATTAAATAAGTTAATTTGCAAAAACCACACAATGGTACAATATCGATAACTAGATAGTGTCACGAGTACAGTTGATTGCTCAGAATCTTATCAGCGTACTCATGTGGCTTCATAAGTTACTTTATATATTTCCACTCTCCCTTGTTATTCACTGCGATTTCATGATATCTAGTGCGTGTGTTAAGTCACTATGATTGGAGGTGTTAAATTATTATTATTGTTCTCTTGGGTTCATAGTGGGACATAGGGCTTCAGCTGCACGTCTCCACCTGCTTCTATCTTCTGCTGTACTTTTCACCTGCATCCATGTTACTCCATGCTGTTTCAACTCCACTTCGCACGATCTCCTTAACGTCACACTTGCACTGACGTCCCACTCGCCACCGCTTCCTTTTCGGGTTCCACTCGAGCGATGGCCTGACGCGCGCGCTATATCACTCAGCGGCCTCCTCAGCGAGTTTTCAATCCAACTCCACTTTCTCCTGCATATTTGTTGGTTGGCGATTGGCTCTTGTTTTGTTTGTTCCCTGCCATAGTTTCTTGATAGCGATTCTTTCCGGCCCGGCCATCTGATCTTCAGTATAGATCCAGCGAAGACAGTTGTTGGTTGATAAAGGTCTGCAATAGGCTGTTGGAAATATTCTTTGTGACCCTCCCGCCAAATTTCTGATCCGTATAGAAGAACTGACTGACTTGACGTTGTTTGTATTGAAAATCCGACCGAATTTTGTTGTGATGTGGCTGAGTGACGAAGATTTCCAGATTGGTTTCAGTTGGTTGATGAATGTGTTTCTCGCCTTCCCGATTTTCGATTTGACATCCTCGTCCGTTCCTTCCGTAGTTGAGACAATGCTCAGTGCTAGATAAGTGAATGAAGTAACCTCTTTCAAATCTCTCCCATGTGATTGGCGGGTGATTGTCGCTAGATGTTGCTGCTGTTGTTGTTGGTTGGTTATTTTCATAACCTCCGTCTTATCTGTGTTCACTTGGGGTTCTGTCTTTGCCGCTTCTTCAACCAATTTGTCGGTTTTCGCTTGCAAGTCTTCGATTTCGTGTTACGTCAAACATAAGTCATCCACGCGCAAAATCCAGACCTTCTAGGTTCTTCACGTTGGTCCAGGATATCCCTGTCTTCTCGTTTCCCATTGAGAAGAGGTGTTGAATACTGGTTAGATTTTTTTAAACTTATTGGGATAAAATAACTCAAAAAAGTCTCCGCTATCGCAATGCATTCACTTAGGTATTATCACACACTAAGGTGAGATAGAGTAAAAATATTAAAAAGTAATATAGTTAGCTTCAAAGAAAGACTCATCATCAAATCTGTGTTCATCGAGTCAGCAACAGACATGTTCAATCAAAATAACTGAACGCCTATACCACATTTACGGGAAATGACAATAAATAACCACAGTAGAGTGAAAATACATGTGGCAAGTTATGAGGTCGCATAAGTATACTGATAATATTTTGACCAGTAAATTGTGCTCAAAACGTCCTGCAGTTATCAGCAGTGTATCACCGTGTGTATTATTAAATTAAATAAATAAGGCGGCCTGCTTAATCATTGGGCTACCGAAATTACTTTCCTCCAAAATGCTTAATTTCATGTGGATTTATCATTGTTTAATCGTCCAGTTATATCAAATGACCTATACATAAACTTGCGCGATGATTTAAGTTACTCCCAAGTAAACGCTGTACAATTCTTCAACGAAATGAAGATATACTTCAGATTATTACTTTACATGTGAATCTTGTGTGAAGAAAAAAGTACTTTGGAACTGAATACGCTGAAAATTTTTGTACCGTATATTCGCATACTGTCTTAAATAAAGCTTTACCATTATTATTATTATTATTATCTAATAGAGAGTAACATTCCAAGCTACAACCAGCTGGTAAGTTAGACGAGGTTGAAGAGAATCTAACTTGAACCTCCTGTGTAACTGAAGAGCATTCTACTACTAAATCACTGGCAGTAGAAAATCTCACTATTTCATTCTAAGTGAATAAAATAAATTGAGAGCACAGAATATTCAAATTCACAGTTTGAAAACTAGTTAGCATTTCGCCATGTACAGAGTTCAAGGGATGTAATTTCACTATAGCTTTCTTTGGGAGCGAAATTATTCAAATTGCATCTTCTATAATGCCTGATACAATAAATGGTAATCAAGAAAGCAAGCATATTTGCGCAAAACTACATACTACTGATTAATTGAGATGAGTAGTTGTATACTACCCATATCAATCAGTCTACAACGTTTAGTCATTAAAATGCATGTGAAACGAATATAATATTATGGTTAGATTATTTACAATCCGTTTTTTCTATACTGACAAAGTAAGAACCTCATTTATTGTTCATGTAAAAATGGAAGACATACAGAGTATCGATTAGTTGTCACTTTGTCAGTACATTTTACTTCTCCTGTGTAGACAATTATATCACCAACTAATGCTTACAATTTTCATTTCTTTTTTTTTCTCTTAAGCACACAGTGAACACTTTCACTGTTTTGCTTTTGTAGAAAGGATCACCTACTGTTGTTTTCCTCTCTTCTCCTTTTTTTAAATGATATGCATGACAGACTTGTATCTAGTTGTCCAAATCAGCACAACAGACTAATAATAGTGTCTTAGTATTTTCACAAAATTTAAAT